TTGAAATTAAATATACACAATTATTTATCAACAATGAATGGCATAAAGCTACTAAAGGAAAAACTTTTCCTGTCATCAATCCAAGTACAGGAGAAGAAATTTGTCAAGTAGAAGAAGGCACAAGAGTATGTCCACATTTACAAGTTCTTTTCATTAGTTATTTCTATTTTTTAGGAAGATGTTGATAAAGCAGTTGAAGCTGCTCGTAAAGCTTTTGATATCGAATCACCTTGGCGTAAGTTGGAACCAGCTGCACGTGCAAATTTGATAAGAAAATTTGCTGATCTTCTTCGACGTGATATCGACTATTTATCAGTATGATTTTTATTTTTGATCTTTAATGTCTCTCAATTTAAATGTTCACATAGAAATTAGAAACACTCAACAACGGTAAACCTGTAGGTGATAGCAAAGGTGACATTCTTGGATCTGCTGCCTGTATCGACTACTGTATGTATACTTCATCATATCTTGCTAGTGGTAGTATTTGCTAAAATTGTAGATGCTGGTTGGGTTGATAAGATTGCTGGTGAAACTCTTCCTGGAGCACATGATCAATTTATATACACTCGTCATGAACCGATTGGTGTATGTGGACAAATCATTCCATGGTAAGTTAAAATATTTGTATAATATTAAGATAATATACTTTTTTTTTAGGAACTATCCGGTTTGTTTGTTGCTTATCATATTGCCGATTTATATATGTACATCATTTCATTTCATTACATTTAGATTATGATGATGGCTTGGAAATTTGGACCTGCGTTAGCGTGTGGTAAGTCACACACTTTCTCTTGCATATCATTTATTATTAATCTTTCAAACAGGAAATGTCATTATTCTCAAACCAGCTGAACAAACACCACTCACCGCACTCTATTGCGCTGCTCTTCTTAAAGAGGTATCTATTATATAATTATCTTTACATAAATTCATATTCTTTTATCATCATCATCATCATTATGTAGGCTGGATTTCCACCAGGTGTTGTCAACGTTATACCAGGTAAAATAAAATTTGTTTATCATATCACATTTTTATATCAATATATATCTCTAGGTGATGGACCTGAATGTGGTAATGCAATTGCATCACATGAACATATCGATAAGGTCGCATTCACTGGTTCAGTTGAAGTAAGTTGATTTGGATGAAAATAAAACATACATGTAATGTTTGATTAAAGATAGGAAAGAAAATTCAAGAAGCAGCAGCTAAATCCAACCTCAAACGTGTTACACTTGAACTTGGTAAGTTCTATTTGATGTGAAGACGATGTTGATTATTTTATATTAAATATATATAGGTGGAAAATCTCCATTAATTATTTGTGAAGATGCTGATAGTAAGTATTATGAAGAAACTGAGAATAACTATTTTTTACAATTTTTCTTATGTCTCTATTAGTTGACTATGCTGTTAGTGTTGCTCATCGAGCTATTTTCACTAATGCTGCACAAAATTGTACTGCTGGTTCTCGTACATTTGTTCATGCAAAAATCTATGATCAATTTATTGCTAAAAGTATTGAATTAGCCAAAAACCGTGTTGTTGGTGATCCGTTCGATTCAAATACTGAACAAGGTCCCCAAGTAAGAAAAATTATATTTTAAAAATAATTAAATTTAATTTGATATGTTAGATCAATGAAAGTCAATTTAAAAAAATATTGGATTATGTTGAAGCTGGTAAAAAAGATGGAGCTAAATTGGAATGTGGTGGTGAACGACATGGCAATAAAGGTTATTTTATTAAACCAACAATCTTTAGTGGTGTCAAAGATGATATGAGAATCGCACGTGAAGAAGTATGATATTTATTTTGATTAAATCTTATACTAATAGAAAGAAAGTTTAGATTTTTGGTCCTATAATGTCAGTATTAAAGTTTGACTCATATGATGAGGTTATCAAACGAGCAAATAGCACATCTTTTGGTCTTGGTGCCGGTGTCATAACCAAAGATTGTAAGTGATGAATGAAACAAATGAATTGAAAATGATTATTGTTTTTGATTTGTTAGTAACTCGTGGTTTGACATTTGCTCAACGATTAGAAGCTGGTTCTGTTTGGGTAAATGATTATGATGCTATCATCAATCAAGCACCTTTTGGTGGATTTAAACAATCAGGTCATGGACGTGAATTAGGAAAGTATGGTCTTGAATCATACTATGAAGTCAAAACAGTTGTTGTCAAACTTATTTAAAAATGGAAGACACAACGAATATATTTTTACAAACAGTTATTTGGATTTGCTCCTTTGATTTTTTAACATATATGTAGTTCAACTATTTTAATAAATAAAGCACTTTTAATTATTTATTGAATTTATCATTTAGTACAAAACAATGAATACGAAAATGTATTTTTGCTGTATAATCTGCAATAAGATATCATTATACTTTCTAATATTTTAAATTCATATACTAGAATAGTATCAATATAAAATGAACTCGATTTGAAAGAAATACTATAAAGACCCAGTGAACTTTAGTGAGATATACAGTTTTGTATTTTTTATGCATGGTAATCATTTGTCATACTGCATGTATCACTTAAAACTATGAAAATAATTCACATAATGATGCTGATTGTGTGCCATTTATTAGCATTCATTAAACTTTAACAGTTAAATAATGGCAAGACTTAGAAATATCTAATACATAAAATTAAATTCAGTTCCGAAAGACGCAAAGAGTCGCTGGTTAGCTTCTACACTAACAAAATTTTAGTTCTAGATTGTATATACTGCTTGTAAGCGAAATTTTGCTTGGTTCTGCTCTTCTTTTAAATAATGTAATCTTTCTGCCAGCGGGTGAATATGGTAATCGTCCATTTTATCTGTATCTTACGTTATATAATTCTTCTCTTTCTCTTCTGCTGTATATCTTCTTTATCTATCACTAGATGCCTTATTTTTCGAGGTATAGCTTTTTCTTCTTCTTTTAATGCACTACGTTTTTTTATACAAGTACTTTTGCTTCTTTCATATTCTTACCATGTGAAATACATATCAATCTAATCAATTTTATCGATATGTGATATCACCAGAATTTCTTTCCGGTAAACTGTATGTAAAAAAACCCTTTTCATATTTTATTTGAAAATTATTAGATTTATGTGAGTCAGTAGATAATTATATAGGTCACTTATATATGATATACTTTTATTTCTAGACGAAATTTTTATTCTTTTGCATTAAATCGAACTTATTAAATGAATTTATTAAGAGCAATTTTACGATTAAAACTATTAAGTAACTAGAACCAGTATTATTGTTTTTCATGTTCAATAGAACACGAATACATGCAATGTTTTTATTCTTTCATTCCTACATTTGCAATAAATCGAGATAAATTAGAAAGAAGGAAATGATTGTAAACATTGTACTAGGATTTTATTTTAAAATTCTTTAGAATTTATCTTATCTCATATATTAAACTAAGTGAGCAGAGAAAGATTGTTAGGGAGAAAATTCTATACCGTCAGAATCTTATAAATAATGAATTATAAAAATCGATAAATGAAGACATAAAAATATAAACATAAAGATATGCTCGATTATTTTAATGTAAATTCTATGTTGTCTTTTTTGTACAGAAGTATTAGTAAAGCAGTTCTGGCTGCTACAACTGGCTTGTTTATAATTTGCCCTGACACATGTAGATAAGGAACACAGACTGGCAGATATCTATATATTCGATTTATATTATACTGACACATACTATATAGTTGGTGGTATAATTACTAGCTAACTTCACATTCACAAATCAATATAGATTTACACAGTTTTAAACATTATTTCATTATTCTAAGGATCCAGTCTTTTTCGTCAATTAGAATAATGTACTTTAAAGAATATTTCCAAGTAAAAATAGTTTTCGTTTAATCGATTCATCGGTTCGGTCCATATGACGATCATTTCACCATCATTGTTGCATCTCTAGTTAATGCTATTGCGTTTCGTATTGCATATACAACTTACCTCTTCGTATTACTGATGCTTTATACTAACAACAAAAAACACGTGTTTTTATTTTTTTTACAGATTATACTCCGTCTAATCAATAAAAAAGAAACCAACGAAGTAAATATAAAACGAGAGAAAAAGCTGACGCAGTATGTCAAAAGCAAAGAAAAGGATAGGATTCTGTGCATCAGGCAAGCAGTAAGAAATACTACAAGCGATGACTCGACATAAAATCTTATCGGTATACATGTTGCTTGCATCGTCATCATCGACATATTATTTTTCAGTTAAAAAATATCTTGTTTTTATTCACTTCTTCGCACTTTTTCAGATGTCTTCGACTCATTCAAAAGCTTCCGATATTGAAATTAAATATACACAATTATTTATCAACAATGAATGGCATAAA